TGCAGGGAGATTTAAGGCTATCTGCTGCATGGTGGAGGAGCCAGTGGCAGCCACAGGGGTAGGGTGGAGCTGGCAAGTAGCCAGAAGGGGCATCTGTTCTGTAATTGTGACCAGGGATTCATAGGGGCTGGGATCAGCCTTGATGTTCCTCTAGTTAGAAAACCCCAGTCATGGTCAATCTTTGCTAAAAACAGGAGAGATTTGAGTAGACCTAGAATTTCCCTAGCTGCTGTTAGAACACACACAGCTAGCTATTAGAGCTATTTTGTGACCGTAAATATTTCCGTTACCGGATACGAAAATAAAGGATCTGCCCCTGCTCCTACTGAGGTCAATGGGAGTTGTGCAATAGAATTCAGTGGGAACAGGCCCCAAGTTTGTGATATGTCTTAAGAAAAAAATGGAACTTTTTTCTGGACCACAGGTACTACCCCAAATATTCTGAGGTGGCCCCCCAAATTATTCTTTCCTTTCCATGTTTCAGGGATTTCCTTTGTGATTGGTCTGTCTCATTTTCCTCTTGACAGAAACACCAGGCTTGTGACCTAGACCGACAACTGGCGCTGGTGACTCAGTTTAACTGGCATCAGTGCTTCCAGTCTGTGGATGAAGATTGATTTAAATTAGAGAGAGAGGTTACACTGGGTTTTGTTTTACGTTTTAAGCAATGATATCTTAAGTGATCAGATAAGGTGTTGGGCTTGATACAAAAAACCTATACAGATAACATAAATGTTACTTAAGGGTCAAAAGGAGTTAAAAGTAAGTACATTAGTTTAAAATGAATCTGTGCCTAACGCTCACCCATGTTTTAAAGTATAAAATACAAGAACCATTTTTCTTAGAGCTGCTTGTCAGAGAAGCATTTGTGTTAACAGAGGTTGAATTTCAAAATGAGAGACATGCTTGCAGAATTTACATATTACTTTAGAGAAATAACAGCTGCTTTTGTGAGTGCAAAAAACCTGGAGCATTTAAGGGAGGGGGGAATGGGGAACTGTTGTGAAAGTAATGAGAAGAGGATCCAAACACCTCACCTGCTTTATCCCTAGGTGTAGAGGGAATTCAAAATTAGACTCCAGATGGCGAACAAACTCTGAACCATGTGAGCTTCCAGCCAATATCCCTCGGCAACGTTAATTTACAGCCTAATGAGTGAGCACCTTGGTTTTCTGCCAGTCCTAGCTAAAAGCACATTATACGAGGACTCTAACATAGTCAGCAATCCGTTCCAGGCCAGAACTTGGGCCACATATTTGTGAGGTGAAATTAGACAGCACAGCCTGTTAGCTGGCTGGGAGAGACAAACAGATTTGTCTGTGTTCAGAGTCCTCAGTGAAAAGATTCCCCATATATTGTGAAAAAGCTCTGTCCTTGCCTCCGTGGGTCCTGCGTTTCCTGGCGGATTTCGCTAGCCTCAGAGGATCACTGTGACCCTCCACGTAACCCTTCTCTCTCTAGAGACAAGGGTCACAGTCTACTGAGCCATTTTCATCATAAGCCAGCGAGGGAGGTGAGGAGAAGTTATCCTTCCTTGCACAGTCTTTGTTGTCTCCCAGTCTTAGTGATTAATCAGGGGGCAAAGGTGGTGGTGGTGGGGAGCCCGGGTACTCCAGTCCAGGGACCCTAATAGTATCAGCTATGGTAGCTGACCTTTTAGAAACATGACATGTACAATTCCCTGGGCTACTTCCCCCACAGCAGCCCTTACTTCCTCAAGCTCCACTTCACCCTTACCTCAGGGCCTCCTTCCGTGTGCCTGATATGGTGTTACTACTCAGCCTCTCCAACAGCACAACTTCCTCCCACAGCTGCTGACATGCACACCCACCTGACTAACTGGGAGGCTTTTAACTAGTTTCAGCCAGTCCCTGATTGGCTTCAGGTGTCCCAATCAACCTAGCATTCTCCCTGCCTTCTGGAAAGTTCTTAATTGGCCCCAGGTGCCTTGATTGACCAGGAGCAGCTTCCATTTCACTTAACCTGGTACCAGGGATTTGTTTAGCCTGGAGCTAATATATCTATCTCACACTACTTTTCTATAGCCATCTGGCCTTGCCCCGTCACAGTATTCATTACAGCCAGGTACTGTCCCTTCTCCACTGGCTGTCGGGACTACAGATACCAGCATCTGTGTTTTATAAAAATTGGTTTGCCACAATTGTCATTCAGGTTATTTAGAGGGTTTTGCATTATTAGATTCAGGTGCTGGGTTGCTTCTTTGTTGGATGAAAGACTAATCAGGGTGTGGCTAACAGCTGAACAAATCAGAAAACATTAGAAAACCCTCTGAAAGAGTGTGTTTAACTGTAATGAATTTGGCTTTCCTTATTACAGTGCAAGGTACAAAAGTTGTCACAGTGAGCTTCTATATATATTATTAGATATGGAGTTTTAGCAGGGATCAATGATACATTTTCAAGGAAGGATAATTCATATTTCCTTGTCAGATATAAAAATTATCTTGGTCTGTAATTAGATCTTCAGACTCCCCCTGCACCCTGCCATTTTTTTTTCCAGATTGCCCAAATATCACACGAAAACTTGACTTCATCCTGAGAGATTTTCATCACCTCGACAGCCTGATAATTTTGGGATTTTATCAAAATTTTATTCAGATTCCCAAGGCCGGTGCCACATTCTGCTTCTCAGTCCTCCAGGGTTCTGTGCACTCGTGTGGGGGTGGTGACTGCTGAGTGCATTCTACTGCCACAGATGTCAATAGGAGTTTGCAGGCACACACCACCTTTAAGTGTGAGCCCTTATGGAGACCAGCAAGCTTTTTATGTTAAGATATTGGTGAGGTATTTTTAATTGTTCAGGTAATGGTCAGTGTTTACATTTTTGTGGGTTTTTTTTTTTATGGATTGTTTTGCATTATTACTGCAGTGGGAACTATGTAGCTTTTTAATTTGATTAGCAGGGAGGGAGGACACACACATGCACACACTCTTCCTTTTTTAAGAGGGCCATTTTATATCTGCTTTTACTATCGACTTCTTCCACTCAGGTGTTTCAATCAGCTCATTGACAACGAGGATCAGATGTTCAAAGAGTTAATTTGATCTTTGTTGTCTACCCAGCTTGCTAAACGAACTTCTTTCACTTGTCTTATCAGTAAGTAGGGTGACAAGATACCAAGTGTGAAAAATTGGGAGAGGGAGGTAATAGTTGCCTGTATCAGACAAAGCCCCAAATATCGGGAGGTCTGATCACCCTACCAGTAAGGCTAGGTAACACCTTTCTAGAAGAAATTCTCGCTAGCATGTAAAGGTGGAATTCACTCCTGTGAAGAAGGCCAATACATAGCTCCTCTACGGGCATAATAGTCGCACAGCTGAAGTGCTGTGACTATACCATTATAACCCTGTAGCATAGAGGCAGATTATAGCAACAGAAAGGGTTTTTCCTTTACTGTAGGAACTCTGTCTCCCTGAAAATGATGGTAGCTAGGTCCACAGAAACAGCCTTCCAGTGACCTAGCTGTGTCTACTCTGGGGGTTCTGTTGGCATAGCTACCCTCAGGATGTAGATGTACCATTTAGGGCTTAAATGAGACACAGTGGTACATAACCCTTGTTTTGCTTCTCTGAGCAGGGGTAAATTTCACCCAGTATGATTGTTAGTCTATTGATTAATGAAGGCACAAGTTTAAAGGACAATACAGGGATTTAGCCTTAAGGATCATAACTGTGGGTACTGACAAGGTTAAAAAGCACTTTGGAAAAATGGATGGAAGGAGAAAATCCAGTGAGTCAATGGGTTTGCAATACTCTAGGATCATTACAAACTTTGTTGAGGAGCTGGGTGTAAGGGAGCTGCTCCTTCATGTGCATTCATGGGAAAATTTAGGGGAGGCAAAATTAGAGATCTCTTTTTGTAAATGTAGCTTGTTATTTTCTGTCTAGTCAAGGTTTTTCTGAGGGGACTCTCACCACGGAATCTAGTGCACGTTTTGGTTGTCAGGTCTGAAACACATTCTGACTCAAGCCAAATTTACTTCCCCTTCATCTTGTTCTCCTCATCATCTTACTGCACTTCTGCCCAGGTCACTAGTGCCATTACAGATGCTCATCTCTCAACCATTCAGAAAAGAACCAGCGCTTGCACCCAGTGACAAAAGGGAAAGGAGAGTCTGTGGAATGGGCATGCACTGGGATTGTTTACATATATTTTGCCTCTCTCGTGGAGAAACTTACACGATCACCTCTCCACACTTCAGATGTCATTCTAAAAAAGAGGCGCCTCCCTAACTCCCCTCCTACCCAATTAAACTAAGGGCCAATTAGGGCCAATTAAACTAAGCCCTTAAGATGTAAAATATCTCAATACTCATGGGCGCTGATGATAATGGCAGCAAACCTGTAAGAATAACAGAAACATAATCTTTCTTATTCTTAGTGTTGGTTAATCTTGCTATTATAATTTCTCAATGTCTTTGCTGAGCAACTTTTTACTCTAGTATAAATAATCAGTTAGTTACAGCAGACAACTAGATAAATGATAGAGCCAAAATGCAGTCATGGCCTAGGGTTTCCAAAATGTGAGGTGCATCTGCCTCCGATATTTCATAATGTGTTGGCCCATCAAACACTGGATGTTATAGCTTGATGTTTGGGGCCCTTGCAGGAAAATTCTGACAATCCAGACTCTCTAAAATATGACCTTGACCAAACGTCCTTCTCTTTTGACAAATTCTGTTCAGTTCTGGTTCTCGATATTGTGCCTATCACCAGGGTACCTTAGCTGCAGTGACTCAGGTTTGGGCTCCAGAAAAGAGAGAATTTGGGTAAAAAATGTAAAGTGTTTGAATGGAAGTTAAATGCCATTGTTTATGAGCTGCCAACACACTTTTTATCATACTTATGGAAAATTCTTATATTTCATTCTTTTTCTAGGAGCAAGTCTTGTCATGTTAATATGCCCAAAAGCAGGATTCTGCTGTTGACAACACTGGATCTTAGCTTGTATGGTTCCATTTTGACATGGCTGTTTTCTAGGTCTCCTCTGGAAGATTCCCAAGCTGCGTGGTACTTGATTTATCTACTTTGGAAGGATGAAACCTGAACTGACTTGCTTGCTGGGACCCAAGCCCATAATTCCAAAAGGCCTAGGTATGATAAAATTAAAGCTCAGATCACTAGGCCATACCCTTTGAATAATCTTATCTAGGGTCCAGTCCTGGAAGCACTTAGACCACAATTCTGCAATAATCTCTGTCTAGGCAGACACCTGACTTAACAAGGTGCTTGGAGTGGGTGCAGGAGTCCACCTCAGTACTGTCAATCTCAGGTGTTTAAAAATCAGAAGTTGGATCCCCAAAAAGTCAGGACATTGGCTTGAAAAAATCACAAGATTTTTAAAAACACACATTTGAAGTTCTGTTTATTTGCCGTCTGGCTTTGAACCTTTCAGGCTTCTCTCTGCAACCATGAAGGCCAAAAATCCAATTCACATGACTCTGGTATCTAGGGCTTTAGGAAAAAAAACAAATGTTAAGAGATTTGCAATTAAAATCAGGTGAGTTGGCACTGCTTCCACAGAGCTCATTGCAGGATGATGGTTTTATATGCAGCCCAGTGTGTCAACAGAACTATTAAGTAGTAAACTCTAAACTCTAGCATTTACAGGATCACACTCATAAGATGTTTGCCAATAGAGGGAAAAGTAAAATGTTACTAACCATTTAAATTTATAACAAGTAACTCACAGTGTACTTTATTATTTCTTCACAATATTAACTAGACAGACATAGAAAGTTTAATGGCAACATGTAACAGTTTAAACACAAAGAACAATGTAATCATGTTAAACAATAATAAACTGGCAAACTACTTTACCTTACATACATCATCCAAGATAATGCATAAACAATATCTGCTTATATACAATGATGCTGGTGATATTTAAAAGTCAAATATTCAAAAGAAAAAGAAACAATGCTATTTAAATAATAAAAATATACATGATTTTTTGTGTGTGATGGGCATTCTTAATGCTCTATAACTTGGTTGTAAAGATTTCACTCTAGGATGAATCTGCATTAACTTTTAGCACAGGAGCACATTTTAAAACCAATTTAGATTAAATTGATTCCTTGTCTGTTATTGCTTAGTTTTGTTTTAAAGCTATATAGGAATGCAAAATAAAACTGAATTTTTCTGGTTTCAGAGGATATTTACACAAAATCCAAAAAAAATTAACTTATCATACATGGTATTAGGAGTCATTAACAAATAATGTGAATGAATCCATATGCTATCTTGTTTAAAAAAAAAAATTAGAAATCCAGGCTCTTTGCACATGCAACTTCATCACTTTTCATCAACATTTAAAAAGATGTTTTGATATGAAATTAGTGCAGATGCATGGCCAACCGCATCACCATGCAGAACTCCCACTGAGGTGAATGGGAGGTTTGTGTATGCAAGGACAAGAAGTTTTGGGCCCATAACCTGCACCTTATATCATCCCATATTGACCTTCACACGCAAAAGTCTGTTTCTAAAGGAATTATTCCAGTCTCTAGCTGTGTGCTTTATTAAAGCATCCCATGATTTCACATATCACAACAGGAAACTCAGAAAATATATTAATTGTAATTATGGGTTGATGCACAAACATGTAGATGGTTATGATTGAAATCTACTACTTGGACCATTGTGGCCAAGCTTCTGCATCATACAAGACTGTGTGTACGAACCCCACTCTAATCGTCTTTCAGCCCTCACGATCCCACTTCTCTCTGTAGCTTCAATTACCACGACATGTTGTTCCATTGTCAGAGCCAATGTCTGAACTACCAAGAACTATCCTCTGTTTCTCGTCTAATACTTAGTTTTAGGCTCCTTCCCCTTGTTTTAGAACTCTTATTTACTCTGTACATACAGCCCTTTGTTTTCAGTTTTTATTTTATTTAATTTTCCCTGGGAATTTATCAATGTTTATAAACACAACCAGAAAATCAGTGCAAAGAAACTATTAGTTTTTCTGGGTAAATATTGGGGTTTATTTTGGTGGATGGAAAGATGGGGTAAGGGGGAAAAGTATTCAGTAGATTAATACTTTTTGTAAAGTCCAGGAAATTTTCAGTAAAAATTGGTTAAAACTGAAAACAAAGGGGCTTATCGGTACATTGTGGAACTATAACAAATCTTAGATGATCTTATGAAGTTTTCCTTTGTTTAAAAAAACAAGACTTTTTCTTTATTATTTTATTGAAAAACAAAGCCCAAAAGAATTAAAGGACAAAAAAAAATTGTGGTACAATAAAATCAAATATCTGATCTGGTTTGTAGATGATTGCTGCTAGAATTAACAAGGCTTTACTTAAATACTTTGGGGGGAATTTTTGTAACCTTTTGCTCTGTTTATCTTCACTGCCTAAAATTCTTTTTCTTTTCATCTAGATGAAAGGTGGCCAAATTTCTCAGATGCTTTTATCCTCAGTCATGGAGTTATTTCAATGATATATCTCCTCTCAACACTTCTTAACACCTCTTCCCATGTTGTCCCTTAGTTCTCCACAGCCAAGTAACTTTAGAAGTGCAACTATTTAGATTCTTAGCTTCTTTTTATAGATTGCCACCAGGACTGATCGTGGTGAGAGAAGAAGTGATTTTTAACTGAAATGTAGTTTTGGAGTGTGACTATAAGGCCTTGCATTTTGTAGGGAAAGTTCTGTTTCATACGGTAACAAAGAAAATGGAAGGGACAGGAATCATTGCGAAAGCAAGAGGGTTGAGGGGGAGATTTTTTAAACACGTTCAAGCTTTTATATACATTCAATGTTTCTAGTATGGTGATTAATAATAAATGCATCATCAACTATCCTTACAGCTAATGCAGCCACAATATTGTACAATTCTGCAGTCAGAATTGGAAAGCTCCATTATCTGTTTAATAAAATAACCATTAACAGTTGCCTTGACTTTGTTAACTTATTAACTAATAAGCTGGGAATCCCAGTGAATAGATACAACAGAACACAAATTGGCAGCATCTACATAATCATCTCTGTAATGTGACTACTTCATATTACTTCTAAAGCAGCTTTGAAAAATCTTGCTACTGGAGGACAGTCCAAAACAAACTCTCTCCAAATTATCTTGGTAGTATAGCAGCACAGGAATTTGTATATAGTTACTCTTTTTATATTTTTTGATCATGTAAACCGTCAATAAACAATTCAACATTGAAAAAGTTCAAGGTCAAATCATTCATTATCTCTAATGAGGGTTAATGGGCACAAACTGAAAATGAAGACTAGATTGTGAAATGTGGATTGAAACGTTAGTACAGTGCCAATTCTAGTTCATCTTTGTACCTGGCTTTCCATAAATTAAACCTGCTAGGTGGAAAAACCAAGCCCACATTCAATTCCTAATACCTGGTTCCCTATGCTTTTTAAATATTTTTCGTAAGTGCCTTGCACAAATGCATACAGTTTTGACATTTCAGGTGTGTTTACTCAGCAGAGTTTACAAATGGATCACATTTGCTTTAGAAACATTAGTTCCATTAAATGTTTCTGTAACTTTAAACCCATTTCAAATTTAAAATCCAACGCTCGCTCCATCTTTGCCCATAGAAAATGTAGGTGCCACGGACTAAATAGCAATAAAAATGCTGAGATGCACAAATCTAAAAAAAGCAGCTTTGAAGAAATCCCATCAATTACAGCCTTAACAATGAACACATCACATTCCTAAATTACTGCAGCTATTTTGCAAATAATGCCACAAAGTTAGATTATTGAAATCTCAAGGTTGACTCTGCAGTTTTTCATTGTATTGTTTTCACTCTGAAAGTACTTGTATGTTATTCCTGTCCTTTTATCCAGAGCTTTCTAACTTGTCCCTGGATGTACATTTAGCCATAAATTTCATATTTTGACAATTTCATCGTAAAAAAAAAATAAAATAAAAACACTTGACTTATAGAGATTTTTAAGGTGGAATTCACAGAAGCCAAAAGCTTGTTAAAGCCCACTTTAAAGTTGTTGACATGTCTAAGATATGTGGTTCCAGGATTTATGCAGTTGTTATAAAGCTGTATATTAAGTATTCTGAATTAATCTTATTTAAACTGCATTTATTGTTCGAGAAGCCGACTCAGTCCATCCTTTCCCCCTTCTTATTCTCCCCTGAAATGACAATAGGCACCTAAGGAATCTGGATGTCAGTGAGTCTCTGTCCAGCTTGAGGATTAGGACAATTTCTTCATCTTCTTTATTTCTGTAGAAAGTCTTAAGAAATTATTAGCATGAAATACTTTGGGTGTGGGTGTGAGATGGGGGAAAGAATACAGGTCATCTGACTTCTTTGTTATGAAAATGAATGTGATTTTGGTGCCCAGTTTGATAAACAAGTATAGTTCGAGCTAATCTGGAACTCAGATGAGGTCTGTTTCTTGCCAACTAAATTAAACCTTTTTCAACTTTCAGGGATTTAGAGGCCAAACTTAATTGGTTTCAAAACCCTAGAGGAGCTCAGCAAGTAAACAGGATCAGTTGCAGATATGAGCCCACTAAAATGGGACACAAGTCAGGACTCCAGCTGTGCTCTGTAGAGGCAGGCACTTAAAGTCTCATGGTTTGTGTGTGTGTAGCTGTAAAAGACATTTTACTGCTGAGGAAATCATTGAAACAGTAATTTCTTGCATGTTCAAAGGATTTCATTTCATGCGCTCATAAAGTGTATCTGAATTGACATATCGTTTTAAGGTATCAGACGATACTGTTATGATTATGATGTATTGACACAATTTGGTAGCTTAAAAATACTTTCATAAAATATATGCAATCGTATTTCAAATTGTTGTCCTTCCAGGAGACTCCTATAGATGGCTGTCCTTCGAGAAGTTGCTATTCTGACACCAAGTATGTACCATATTGAATTGTATACTAATGTCAGTACTTGCCAGCTGGAAATAATTCTAACTTCACTCCCTCTGACTTTTTTAGGATCCCATCTCCTTGGATCTGTGAGAAATTGTAAGTAAAATCAATTCAATTACACAGCCTGAAGCAGCCCAAGTAACTGCTCCCCCAAGAGAAAGCAGGTAGGTCTTTGTCAGTATATTTAATCCATCCAGCTGCATTAATTTTTTTTTTTTTTTTAAAAAGCTCAAGGTATTTGGGACTCATTACAATTCATAACAATATTATGTGATACTCAGATATAAATTGTTAAATGTAAATATCTTTAATAAATAACTTTGTTTCCTGCAATGTAAAAAATAAATGATACCTCCCTTTGGCAGTAATAGCTGATTTATATTTAGCCAGGAACTTCTGCTCATAAAACTAATATCATTGTGCTACTAGAAAAAACATATTATTTTATTGTTTCGTAAGACTTTTGTAATCCATGGTTAGATGGGTGACTTCACTTATGTCCCAGATAAGCGCCAAGGGTGATGCAAGCTCCCACCAGAGCTAGACTTAGGATAGTCTTCAAAGAGATCCAGGAGAAATCAAACAAAGGTCTCATGTTGCTGCCGTACAATTCCACAAAGGCATCCTGGGTTGGGAGGAAGGGAAATAGGAATGTGAGATTCCAGAGTAATATGATATGCAGACAGGAACAAAAGACATTTATTCATTAAAGCTACCATTAATAATGGTAATAATGATAATAATATAATAATGATAAACACAAATTATTCAGAAAAACTAAGAAAAGCACAAGAGTGAGCTCTTTCATACATGCAGGTAACTCCGGAATCATTTTAGCATACAAACTATGACTACAATTTTAAGTTCTTTAGGTCAGGAATCGTATTTTTGTACAGCACCTAACACAATGGGCTCCTCATGCTACTATAATGCAAATAATAATAAATAATAATAAAATAAATCTGAGCACCTTCAGCTCCTATTGATGTCACTGGTATCTGTGGGTGCTCAGAACTTCTGAAAATGAGGCCACTTTTGCGTAGTTTCCTAAATATGGATCTAGGAACCTAACTTTAGGCAGCCAGGTTTCTTTTCAATGAAAAAATGGCTTTTATTTTGTGACCATGCTGAGCTTTACATTTTCTTGTTTTATATGTGTAGTCTCTCACGTGCATAGAAAACTGTTTTACAGACAAGAAAACTAACCTTTTTAATGAAAGGTGTCAAAAACGTCTAGACGCTGGGGGAAAAGATGAAAACTTTCTGAAGTTGTGTGTGAATTATTAATGCAATAAGATTTATGCCATTAAAAGGATTAGTAATCATACTAATAATGCTTTGCACTTACATAGTGTCTTTCTTCCAAGGAGCTCAGAGCTCCTTACAAATATTAAGTCTTCTACTATCCCTGAGGGTAGTTAAATGAAGAGAGAGGTGAAAGGACTTTCAAAATGTCTCAAATTAAATTGGTAGTAGAGTTTGGAATAGAGTTGTGGTTCCCAGTTTCCTGTTGTAATTCCTATGCTCTGCTACCAAGATACTGATAGATAGATATAGATATATCAGTATCTGGGGGTGTGTGTGTGTGTATATATATAATATAATATAATATAGCTAACTCCTACCATTGCTTTTAAAGGTTTTAGTGGCAGGCTTTCAATTTGTTGTAGAAAATAAACATTCCTTTTTTTCAATTGCACGTTCTGTAAAATGTCTTCGGCCATCTATAATGTTACATTTTATACAAGGCGAATAGCCTCCTAAATTAACTCCTAAAATACACGAGTTCATTCATGAATTACAGCAACAGAGGGGGGAAAAGCCTGAATTACATGAAATAACAATAAACCTTTCAACCATGCTGTGTGTTTTTCATAAGATATGGACATATTATAGTACTTTACGCTGTCCTTTGTCATCTGATATTACTAGCTATTGTAGGTCAGAATGGAAAGGTTAGTTTTTGCCACAAGAGGGCATGTACGTTTTTTACATTTTGCTATTCAAATCCAGTTCAATAGAAGTTCGGCTCTGAGGGAAATGTACTTAAATGGAGAAATTGTATCTACTTCCACAATTTCTCTTTATAATAAGTGATACTGGCCAAATCCGGCACCCCTTACTGAGGCAAAACTCCTGTTGATTTCAGTGGGTGTATTGCCTGAGTTAGGGGCTGTGCGGGTTGGCCCATAGAATGACTGTGTGCAGAAAATGCATCTCTTCGTATCATTTTTAGACATTTTGTTCCTTTAGGCCAATATTTTCAAATTTGTGTTTCTGAAGGTAGGTACTTAAATTCATACATAGGCACCTAAATAAAAGTCTGATATTCAATTATGCTTCCATGGAAACTCTGAGAAAATCAGGTCACTTTTATTTGCATACCTAACTTCAGAAACACAAGGGGGTTTAATAATCAGAGGGGTAGCCACGTTAGTCCACGAAAGCTTATGCCCCAATACGTCTGTTAGTCTATAAGGTGCCACAGGACACTTTGCCAAGGTTAATAATGCCGTTCTTAATGTTTTGTTGTGTTAATGTTGGGTTGTAAAACACATTTGCTGTGCTGTTTTTCAAAAAACACCTTTTACTCCTCCTCCTTACGGTTATGAGACAAAAAAAGGATTGAGAAAATGCAAGTCACATGAAAAATTTTTAATGTTAAACTTCAGTGACGCTCTTTCTACAGTCTTGATCCTACTTCCATTACACCAATGGGAGTAGAAACATGTCCTATATCAACCCCGCCCCCTCACCCAGGTTTAGCGGATGCTCAGCCCAATTTATTACAAAAACGATTGTTAGGAATCCAGGAGAGAGAGCTCTTGGTGCCTGGCATGAAAGTAGATGAGAGGGATGCATTAACACAATGCAAAAGCCTTGACTTAGGGCTCAAGAAAAGGAATGTCAGCACAAAACGTTAAGCATGAAATAGTTTTTGTTATTGAGACTATTATAATAACAAGATGAACCCAACCTTATGGTTTCTGTACTATATATTACAAGTAGCTACTTTATGGGTGCCTTTTTATTGCGCTTTTGCCTTCTCAAACATCCTGATTAGGCTTATTTCCGAAGCCTGTTTGAACAGCCTGTCACTATTTGTTTAAGTTTCAAACCTGTTTTAAATAAACACATGCCCATTTTATGTATTAAAACAACAGAAGAGGGGGGCCTACCCCCTCTCCCTAGTGAAAACTGCTTTTAATGCCAAGAGAACTCTAAACTGTATACAGAATGTTCCATAAGTTAGGTCTCTTTCTATGTACATTAGTACTTGTAATTGGATTTTTGTAATCTAAATTTATCTGATTAAAATGAGTGCCTGTATTAAAAAAAAACAAAAACAAAAATACCCCCCCACACACGACTTGATACAAACTGCCTGAAGCGTTTGAAGTCCTCTGAGAAATACTCTCCCTAAGTGAAAATGCTTTGCACCCACACGGAGGCTCAGAGCCTGAATCCTGTGTACAGTTTGATGGGCCTCTGCAGAGCTGCCATGCTTACTGAAAAGGCTTGTAGATTTTGAGAGAATGGTAACTCTTGTAGTTTTTCGTTTTCTTTTGAACTTCACAGAAAGTTATGCCCCTCCTATAGAATTCTCTAGGACAGTTCAAAAACCCTACAGAAAGGATTTCCTTCTCTATGAAACTATAGGTTTTTGAAAGTAATTTCTGTAGAACCCTACTACACTCCTATTACAACAAAACCCTCCCTTTTCCTTTAATCTGTTTAAATTATGTTGAACTTTAAGGGAAGAGGGTGGTGAGGGAGGAATGGAATCCTCATGTACCTGCTGCATTCTCTTCTACAGTCCGAAAAGGACTGGCTGGTAGATCTATGGAGCTGAGTGTCATTACCAAACTGCCCAAGCTGCATGGAGGTCTTGGCCATGATGTTCTACATGGCCAGCCTGTGAGGGCACCCCATGACAGTTCTGCTCCACCACACCCACCCACAGGAGTTGGAGAGGGGATCTGCTCCCCCCAATAACCAGTCATCTCCAGTTAGCCACCCTGTCATTATTTAAGGGTAATATCACTGCAAATTCATAAAGGCTCAGTATCATTGCTACATAATCTACCTCTCTCTCGTTCAGTTCAGGCTGGGGCCAGCTTTTTTAGGCTGTGTAGAACTCAATATTTCCCATATGCTGAGCCCAGTGATGCATTAACAATGTGAGTTTTCTTCATTGAAAATATAAAGGGAAAAACCAGCTTAAGTGCCACACGCTGCATTTATTAGTAAGGGGGTGGTGGGCAGAGCAAACATGAGGAAGTAAAGACTTCCTTTTTCTACCTGAATCAAACAGCTGGTGAGGAAGTGACTTTATTTCCCTTGTTATCATTGGTTGACAGGATATCCTCTTGAGCCACATTGTATTGAATGAAGTGCCTATGAGACTTCCATTTCACTGAACGGGAATTGCCTTGTAGCTATTTTATGCTGCCCTCTCTGTGACTCCAAAATAAACAAACAACCAACACTAATTCTAGGCTTTTGAAGAAACTTTCATGACACAGCTTTACAGAGAATGACATAACTGCTGATGCAGAGAGTGAGTGGATGAATGACTCCTCACTTCTCCCTTGCCTTGATATATAAAGCTTAAATTTTCATAAATCTCTAGCTTTAGGAGAAGGATAGAGAATTGACTAAATCAGCCGTCTTATAAAATAAAACCTCATTAAAACGTCATCCTGCAAGTAACAAGAATGCTCCTGGAACATGAAAAAAACAGACAAATGTCTTGCTGTTTTTCCTGAAGAGTTCATTGGTATTTTATGTAAATACAGACTGAGTACGTATGCAAATAAGAGCAGCTCAGATCTACAGTACGTTGTGCCTGGTTTTGGTGTTTCAAGGGCCTGACTTTTACAGAGGCCACTAGGTTTACGCTTGGAATGCTGAAATGTTAGCAGTCCAGCAGGCTGTGCTTTTCAAATCTTACTGCAAAGGAGCAGAATTGTACTGTAATA